AGACAAGACAGGAGGAAACAAAAGAGGTGGGGGTGTTGCATTACTGGTTGAGGAACAGATCACAGCTGTGGTGAGGGAGGACATCCTGAAGAAATCTTGCAGCAAGACATTATGGGTATAGCTAAGGAATAGGAAAGGTGCAATCACAATGCTGGGATTGTATAGACCTTCCAGCTGCCAGCAGGAGATCGAAGAAGAGATATGTAGTCAGATTCTGGAAAGATGTAAAAGTAACAGGGTTGTTGTGGTGGGTAATTTTAACCTCCCCTATGTTGACTGGTACTCAGAGGCAAGGTTTGGATGGGGAGCAGTTAGTTTGGTGTGTCCAGGTGGGTTTTTTGAAATTGTATGTGGATTGTCTAATGAGGGAGAGATTCATACTGAACCTGGTATTGGGAAATGATCAATGTTTCAGTGGGGGAGCATTTTGGGAATAGTGACCATAACCCCACAAATTTTCAGATACTTATGGATACGGACAAGAATGGACCTCGGATAAAGATGTTAAATTGGGCGAAGGCCAACTGTAACTGAATTAGACAAAAATTGGAGAATGTGGATTAACAGTTGCCATTTGAGGGTAAATCCACAACAGACATGTGGGAGTCTTTTAAGGATCTGTTGATTAGAGCGCAGGACAGGAATGGCAGGATTGGGGAACCTTGGGTGACAGGGGAAATTATCAGCTTAGTTAAAAAAAACACATACCTACGATCTAAGCAATTAAAAACAAAGTCCTTGAAGAATAAAGAGAAAGTAGGAAGGAGCTCAAATGGGGAGCTAGGAGGTCTAAAGGGGGCTATGAAATGTCCTTGGCCAGCAGGGTTAAGGAGGGGCAAGAAGGTAGTTCATCAAAGAGTAGGCTCACTCAAGGATAAAGGAGGGAGGATATGTATGGAGTCAGAGGAAATGGGCAAGATCCTTAATGAGTACTTTCTATTGGTATTCACCAAAGAAGGGGACTTGAGAAATGTTGAGGTTAGGAAAACGTGTGTGAATACTCTCAGGCACGCCAACATCAAGGAGGAAGCGTTGAGTGTCTTGAAGCACATTAAGGCGGACAAATCCCATGACAAGATGGGATCTATCCTAGGATACTGTGGGAGGCAAGGGAGGAAATAGCTGGGGCCTTAACAGATATCCCTGCATCCTCTTAGGCCTCAGACAAAGTTCTAGAGGACTGGAGAATGGCCCACGTTGTTCCTTTGTTTAAGAAGGGAAACAGAGATAATGCAGGTTATTGTAGGCTGGTGAGCCTGATGTTAGCGGTGGGGAGGCTGTTGGAGAAGGTACTGAGACTCTGATACTCCTACAACCACTTCCGTCAGGCAGAAGATACACAAGCTTGAACACACGCACCAAAAGGTTCAGAAACAGCTTCTTCCTGGTCATGATTATACTGATGAATGGACTCTCGAACTTCAAATAACATTGATCTTGCTAATGTTTATCTTGCCTATTGTGCAATGTAACCTGTATGCCTCTAAGATTCCTCCTCACCCTATGATCTGCAAGTCCTTGCTTACTATAATCTGCTTGTACTGCTCGTTAACAAAGCTTTTCACTGTACTTAGGTATACATGACAATAAATAAATAAATCAAATCAAATCAAATGCGAAGGGACCTAGGTGTACAGATCCAGAAATCCCTGAAAATGGCAACACAGGTGGATAAGGTAGTCGAGAAGGCATATCTTCATTGGATGGGGAGAAGTTAAGTTATGCCACGGTTGTACAAAACTTTAGTTAGGCCACATTTCGTGGTTGGTTGGCTCGCTTGCCGAGTGGTTCGTTGTTTCGCGGACATTTCATTACCCTGCTGGATAATATCATCAGTGCAGCCTCTGATGAAGCGCTGTTGGATTTTCCCTCCTGTTATTTGAACTCTGGTGTCCGTTGAGCTGGATTACCTCACTTCTGGTTTTTCTTCGCAATGGAGTGTATATGGGGTCTAGTTCTATGTTTTTATTGATAATGTATTTATTTATTCATTTCTCCCTCATTTCCATTGAGAGGTGGAGTTGATACCACAGCTGTAGTCTACTGAGTAGTGAAGCAGGTTCAAAAGGCCAAATGGCCTACTTGTAGTCCTATCTTCCTATGGGCCACTGCCCTTATCAATATGCCAGTAAAAACTGGGAACCTGAACTACTAAAATATCAACTAGGATATAAACAGTATGAAAGGCACAGAGGGCACAAAATTCTACATGTGCATTCAAAAGCACTACTTTTTAAGCTACCATGTAACAACCTCAATGACACAGACTGCGATTCTAGATTTAGGTCTTAGGAAATGAAGCTGGTCAGGTGAATTGTTTGAGAGATAGTGGTCAAAAGGGGGAGGCAATGGCCTAGCGGTATTAATCGCTGGACTGTTAATCCAGAGACCCAGATAATGTCCTGGGGACCTGGGTTTGAATCCTGCCATGGCAGATGGTGGAATTTGAATTCAATAAATATCTGGAATTAAGAATCTAATGATGACCATGAATCCATTGTTGATTGTCAGAAAAACCCATCTGGTTCACTAATGTCCTTCAGGGAAGGAAACTGCCATTCTTAACTGACCCGGCCTATATGTGACTCCAGACACACAGCAATGTGGTTGACTCTTAACTGCCCTCTAGGCAATTAGGGGTGGGCAATAAATGCTGTCTAGCCAGAGATGCCCTCAGCCCATGAATGAATAAAAAAAATTCAGTTAGATTTAGCAAATGGGTTAAGTGAATTGGCTGTGCTAAATTGCTCCATAGTGTGCCCAGTGATGTGCAGGCTAGGTGGAATGCCATGTGAAATGCCATGTGAAATGCAGGTTATAGGGTAAGGGGTGGGCTTGGGTGGGATGCTCTCCGGAGGGTCAGTGTGGACTTGATGGGCTGAACGGCTTGTTTCCACACTGTAGGGATTCTACGATTCTATGAATGAAAGGGGATAACAGAATAGAAGTACAAGCTCTAAATTGGGGAAATGCAAATTTTACAATGTGGAGAGATGATAAGGCAGAAGTGAGCTGGGGTGACTTAATTAAGGTGTACAAATTAATAAGGGACTTCGACAGAGTTGACCCTGTTTACCCCAGCAGAGAAGTTGGTTACCAGGGTCACAGAGTTAATGTGACCAGAAGGAGGATTAGAGGAAACAAGGGGAGAAACCTGTGCATGCAGTGTGGGGAGTGTCTGAAATTTGGGTGGGTAGTTTTTCAGACATGGGCTGAATGGTCATTTTATGCCCTGTAACTTCTACAACTGGAAGCTATACAGGAAATTACATTGCAATCAGATAACAAACAATGCACAGAGACACATCAGTGATTGTCATGCTACTAAGGTGACAAATCAAGATACATTTAGAATTGTACACAATGATTCAACTGTTCCCAGGTCAAATTCAACACAAGGTTAAGTCCAGCTCAGATTCCATGTGCCCAACCTTGGCTATGAAACCATCCAATTCTGCGGCTTTCTTGGGCACGGCTATTGTTAATTCATAGAATCACAGAATCTCTACAGCAAGGAAGCAGGCCATTCAACCCTCAAGTTGACACTGACCCTCTGAAGAGCATCTGCTCAGACCCACACCCCTCCCCTATTCCTGTAACCCGATTGCCCATGATTAATGCACCTGGCCTGCACATCCCTGGACACTATGGGGCAGTTTAGCATGCCAATCCACCTAACCTGTACATCTTCGGAGTGTGGCCGCAAACCGGAGCACCCGGAGGAAACCCATGCAGACACAAAGAGAATATGCAAACGTAGACAGTTGCCCAAGGCTGGAATTGGGTCCCTGGTGCTGTGAGGCAGCAGTCCTAACCACTGAGCCACCATTACTCCTATAAATCAATTGTTCTTTCATCAACTACTACTTATGAGGAGCATAAACAGGGTGGATAGGCCATAGTTGAAAGGCAATAACAAATGGTCATAATTCAAGGTAAAGGACAGGAGGTTTAAGAGGCGAGTTGAGGAAATTTTTTTTTCATCCAGAGGGTGGTGGGAATCTAGACTGCACTGCCTGGGAGATTAGTAGAGAAGGAAACCTCAACCTTTAAAAAGTACATGGATGAGCATTTGAACATGCAAGGCTAATGGTTAAGTGCTTGAAAGGAGGATTAATCTAGATAGGTCAGTGCAGACCTGACGGCCAAAGGCCTCTTCTGTGCTATATGACTCTACGCTGCTGTTTGTGAAGCTAACAGGGAGAACCACCATTGCCTTCACAAATTTTGCACTCACACTGGATGTGGATTTGGGGACCCTCTAGTTTTGTAGCTATAAATGTATCACAGAAAATTTGATAAACAGGGATACCTGTAAGAAATTCCTGGATAATTACAGGTCTCTATGTACCCAGATGCTGCTTAGACTAGAACAGAATTCACTGTTGGCTTGCCGAGTTCATAGAGTTTGCTCATGTTAGAGATGGAGACAAAAACAGATAAATGAATATAACCACACATAAAGCTATTAAGTATTACTAACACTTCACAGCAGTGAAGTTTGCCTGGTTTCACTGGCACACTCTTTTATTCTTCCTGCCAATTGAATTTGGATGTCTCAAATATACTGTGTACTCTACTGTTTCTATGTTACTTAAGTAGTGTGGCTTTAAGCCCATATGCATTTTTAAAAGTGCTAGAACAAGGGCGCTCTTACTGCCTTATTTAGCAGACTGAATTCAAAAATCTCCATGAGAAAACCAACTGAGGAGGACAGGGCGTGTCAAATTAAAGGCTGCTTATCTTAGTAGACATTAGAAACAACATGCTGACATGTTTTATTCATGGTTATATCATCTCAGTAACTGACAACACTGGCCTATTATTATCATGCATATCCATCTGCAGCCTATAGTAAGGAACCTGACATTTTCCACCAAATCTCCCCAGATTCTATGTGGGATATAGCCTGCGTAAACAACACCAGATAAATCACTTAGAAAGCCCTCAACTTCTTTAGAAGAGAAATAATGAAAACTCCCTGAAGTTTTAGTCCTTACCCTGTTTTCATCATAGATAATCTGGACGATACTGCGATGTTTTGGTTCCACTGGAGGAGGGGAGACTGGTTTCTCAGGCTCTGGAGGTTTGGCAGCTTCCTCTTCAAGCTGTTGCTATGAAGCAACACAAAGACAGAGTCAATTTTCTTGCCAACATACACAACCTAATCCAACTTTACTTGCCACTGGTCAGCACTGGAGCACTCACAAGCTCAAATGCCCTATCAAATCACAACATTGTGATTACTCTCAAATGGGGAAAGTGCTTTATGCATCAAGCAAAATAAAAGACTGATCACCTCCACAATGGATTATTCCAATGCATCACTTCCTCCACCTTTCAAACCTTGAGCTCAAACAAAACTTACTATTCTTGCTGATTTACACTGGCCCCCAGTATACACACCTTTGTATTTACATTTTCATGGCTGCATCCCTCCCTGTTACTGTTAGCTGCTCCAACTGCAGTTTCTGTTTCTGATCACTATCCACTGGCCCTTGGTGGAATTGCCATTCTGGATGTCAGGTGAGAGGGGTTCAAATTCAGCAATACAGGACCCAATATTAATTTCTTACAAGACGTGGAAAACTGGACCCACGTTGAGAAATAACACAAAATAAATTAAACAAAGTACTGGGAGGTAGTTGATACCTGGAGAACAGTAACACAGAAACAGGACTACAGCAGACAGAAATGTGAAGATCTAACATCAAGGAAACTTGACAAGACTTCGACAATGTATGACAATATGAAACCTGCTCCATCATGTTGGTGTCCAAGTTAAAATGCAGCAGGCAAGATCTTTCAGATTAGAAAAGCTGACTAGGGTAAGTGCATGCAAGAATAAAAGGCTAAAAAAACCACTTAATATTCCATTTTTACTCTATTTTTAAGTTATAACCATCAACTAAGCTAATTTGCATTCCTTGACCAAACAACCATTTGGCCATCTTAAATCTCATCACAAACTGTCATCAGATCACTTTGGTACCTCTGCTGAATGCAAACGAGATCACATTCTCCTTCATCAGGAGGGAATGAAATAAATCCAACATTTCTACAGGTAGAGATCAAAGGTCAGTGGTCAGGAAGGAACTGAGATGAGACAAATTTCAGAATCTATCTTTAATCATCCAGAATCATTAATCCGATCAACAAAATGACAGCAATGTCAACTCCAGGTTATTATTGTTCCTTAACTCAAGATTTCCACTTTCAGAGTGCAGGGTTCTCAGTGCTTACAGTTTTGAACCTTAGGACTAAAATACTGTTATTAATCCCAGTGTAGTTTCAAGGACAGTTCACAAATGTCTTCAGCGTTCATGCAGAAAATGGTACTTTACCTTTTGGAACGTAGGAAGCGAGTCAGCTCTTCTAAATCAATTACAGAAATCACTAATTTATAAATGACCAATGGTACATTGCTGCAATTAGAAAGTGTACAAATTACAGTAGTAATGTTATTGCAAGTGTATGTTAACAAATTATAAAAGATCTACAGATGATGCAATGATGACCACTTGTTGCAGTTGTCCTCTACACCCATCCACATCATTACATCTTGGCTAATAGAATCTGCACTGAGTGAATGATGTAAAAATTCCAAAGAACAGCATCCCAATGCCACTGCAAAACCTCCAGGTGATGTCCTGAAATAAAAAAACAAAATCCAGGAATAAACTCAGCATATTATGCAGCATCTGTGTGGAGAGAGAAATAAAGTTCTGATGAAAGGTCACAGACCTGGAACATTAACTCCATTTCTCTCACGTCACAGGTGATGCCTTGCCTGCTGAACTTTTTCCAGCATTTCCGACTTTTATCTCAAATGTCTAGCATCTGCATTATTCTGTTTTGCATTTCAGTTATTAAGGAATGAAAAGACACCTAGTTACTGAAGTTTTAAACATTACAAAACATGAAACAGTGCATTGCTTTTGCTGAGGAGCCAGGTAAGAGACAAATCCAGAATACATCAAATCATTAACCCTGACAAGACGACAATATTTATGACAACTAGCAATTGTTTCATTTAATAGCATTGCTGAATCAGTCTATGTAATACCAGACAATGTGTTGCTGTATTTTATGAACAGATTAATAATTTTAATCAAAGAAGTTTATCCCTAATCCTGAATCAACAACAAACAAATTAATGGGAATTTGAAGCAGTGACTCCAAAAGTAAAATAAAGTGATACTTTAGTAGATTTGTCAACTATCCATCTTTTAAACATTTGTAAATTAGTGTGCACCTTTAATATCCTTTCCCTTCCATCATTAATCTCTTCCGTAATGGTACCAGAGCATAGGAATTTCTTCAAAGGACAATACAACCTAAGTAAGGAGGAAAAAAGGCCAGAAACCAGTTTCAAGTGTCAACCCTGATTCAAATGATAATTTGTCTCCAAGTCAGAAAGTGGTCAGTTCAGGACTAGAGCGTGAAAAATGATGGTTAAAACTCCTATGTGGCACCGAAGGTGTGCAGAACAGTCAGAGCTACTGGTTTTTGGAGGAGTCATTCAGCCTTTTGAATGGAAATAAAAAACAAGTCATATATCGTAGATTAGCTGGGGCATGTGTCCTTGTGTCATGGCCATTAGTTACTTGTCAATTAATATGACGAAAACAAGCAATCTGATATTACTGTAATACTGAAAATGAGTAAATTAGCTACTACGATTCCAAAATTAAAATAGTGACTACCTCTTCAAAACTTACTTCACTGGTTCCAAGTGCTTTGAAATATCCTGGTTAGGAAATGTGCTACATAAATGCAAGTTTTTTTGGTTTTATGTTCCTAACCAATGTTGAAGTCAACAGAGCTGGAAGTAGCTCCACACTTACACATGTGAAAAACTAGTGTCTTACCCCTTGCAGTAATTTTTCAGTACCTGTTTTTTCTTCAGTTTGAGGATTTGCTGTTCCACTTTGGCTATTTCTCGGTCTACACGGTCCATACTCTGGATGAGTTCCTCTTTGGATAGTTTGGAAGGAGATGAATCTTGTTCATCTCCAACCTGCTGATTGGTCGTTGGTGATGATGGAACATCAGCCTTCATTGAAAAAGACTCCTTGAAAATAAAAATGAGAGGGGGAAGAGAGAAGGTGAGCAGATTACATACAAACATTTTGTAAAAACCAAGTCTGTAGAATCATAGAGCACAAAAAAAGGCCCTTCAGTCCTTTGAGTCTGCACCAAAAATAACTACCACTAAAGTCACTCTAATCCCAATTTCCTGCACTTGTCCCACATCGTTGAATGTTATGATATTTCAACAGGCCATCCAAAATATTTTTTAAAAGATTGCAATGTTTCTAGCCTCCATTACCTTCCCAGGCAGTGCATTCCAGACTCGCACCACCCTCCGAGTGAAAATGTTTATTCACCAAAAGGTCCAATCAAGATTAAACAGTACAAAGCTTAAGGGAAAAAAAATTAAGAGGAGAAGAACAAGTCACAGCCACTAATCTCCAGCTCTAAGAGCAACCAGAACCTTTGCTATCCTCACTTTATAAAAATATTACTAGTCATGCACTGGAATATGTTAAACACAGAATATTAAGGCAAATAATACGCAACTATTCCCAGGAAGTGAAATCAAAATAGACCAGGATCCAAACCACTCAGTTAATATTTATAGATGAAAAAGCAGATTTCCCCTCAGTACACAGGAATTAGGAAGAGAAATTAAGATCTGATGGAATTCCAAAATATTTCCAAATTAGGATTTGTTAATTATAGAACTGCAATCAATCACATTACCTCCATTCTCAAAAGGATTCGAGAGTCAGAGGTATATTTTACCCAGTTTCTTTCAGAAGCAAATCAAAGCTATTGAGCTTGCAAGCTGCTGTTTAGTCAAACATCAAACTGCCTGGTGATTCTTCCAATAAATAAACCTAAAGTGGATGCAATGATAACTCAGTTAAACAATTTTCCTGTGAACTTTCATGGGCAAAGAACTGAAAATGTTGAAGAATGCTGCTCTGATGAGTGCAAATTTGCTGGGCATATTTTAAGGTGGTGTATTCATTAAAATACTCAAATGGTTCAACACTTGAGACAGTTATGACTGTACATTCATCAATTTCTTATTAAATATACAGAAATATGTTCCAAAAGGTTAACTGATCATTAGCAATACTAAAGTAGATGCCTCCACACATATAGATGAAATGTTCTCACCCTTCCTTTTATTCTCTCTGCTGTCCTTTATCCAGAGAGTGGGTTGTTGTGGCGAATAGTTTAGATGCATTTAAAAGGGAAGCTAGATAAACACACAGGAAAAAAAATAGAAGTATATGTTGACAGGGTGAGACGTAGGATGATGGCAGGAGCCTGACATGGATCATCATCAACGTGGACCTTGAATCAAATGGTCTGTTAGTGCTGTACATTCCATGTAATTCTGTGCAAAAGAAATTTTCCCTACTCTCCACCCTAAAACAATGACATATATCACCTTGCTCTATAGCCTCAAACAAGAAAAAAATTGTTTCAATAAACACCCTGACCAAATTCATTATAATTTTAAACATTTCTCTCATATTGCCTCAATCCTGTCTGTTCTGTTGTGTTCTTGAAAGCTCTATCTCCTAGTCTATCAATATTCTTCACACATTCAGCAAATTAATGCTATATCCTCTGTAGTAACATAACTTTGTTCCAACAGAGTGCAGCCTAAACTGACAGAGTCTTCAACTGTTACCTTACTAATTTGTATGCACCATTACATGTCAGCTTTCATATTCTATACCTTTAGCCAAAAACATCCCAGCATAAGAACATATAAATGGGAGGAGAGTAGGCCATTCATCCCTGTAAGCCTTTAGGTTCAGTACAATCAGAGCTGATCTCTGGACTTTAATTATACCTTCCTGCACAATCCCCATATCCCTTGTTTCCTGTAGCATCCAAAAATCTGTTGACTGCCGACAAGATTCAAGAGTAAGCAACTACAGTAATGGTTCCCACATTGTGATCCTATTTTGAGGCCTGAAAAGTGACATGGCCCTTCAGTAAGAAATCAGAGAGCAGGGGCCTGTTAGAGTAGAAGAACAGCCGTTATACCTTAGTCAGAATTGTACGGTTGTCATTGCTTCCTCAGAGCTCCGCATCCCCACCTGGGCCTAGATAACCATTTTGGGAAGTTCTGATCCACAGTTCCCTCAGGTATAGAGTCCAAAGAATCTAAATGAAGACAGCTTTCAACTCAGCCCAAAATGGTTAATCCTTTATTCTGAGACTGTAACCTCAGTTCAAAACTCCCGAACCAGGAGAAAGACATTTTTAAGCTCCTAATGTGTTAGCGCTTTTTTTAGAATGGTCTTGCCCACTGGGACAGCTGTTCATACTGTCAGGGAATACAAAACCCATATCTGTCTGCACTCCTACACCACCTAAAAAAATTAAGGATCAGAGAAACTGTTAACAATCGTGTGATCGGAATTAAAATTATAATTAAGAGGTTGTATTTACAATTGTTATTATGCCTTATGCAGATAATTACATTGCAGCAGATTACATAATGGATGTTTTCAACATTTGTCATAGATCTCTATTGGAAACTATGGGAAAAACTTCTGAAGAAGAAAATTAATCTGTTTAGATAGACAAGGTTTCATTGGAGTAGTCAGCATGGTTTTGTCAGAGGGAGGTCGTGCCTAATAGATCTGGTTGAATTTTGTACATGACCAATTGTGTAGATGAGGGTAAGTGCTGTTAATGTAATTAATATGGATTTCAGGAAGGCCTCTAAGAAGGTCCTATGAAGACTGCTAAATTAAGCACTGTAGTACTGTGTGCAGTTCTGATCACAGTACGATAGGAAGAATGTGACTGCAATGGAGTGGATGCAGAGCACATTCACCAGGATGCTGCCAGGAAAGGAGCACTTTAGCTATGAAGAAACGTTGGATGAACATAGGTTGTTTTCTTTGGAACTGGGAAGGTTGGGGGGAGAGGGGGGACCTGATACGTGTTTATTTTATGAGGACCATGAACAGGGTGGATAGAAAGCAGCTGATCCCCTTAGTTGAAGTGTCAGCAACAAGTGAGCACACATTTAAGGTGGAAGGCTAGAGAGAGGATGAGAGTAAATTTCTTAACACGTATAGGGTGGTGTGGGTCTGAAATGCATTGCCTGGGAGGATTAAATGAAGTGGGTAACCTCACAACCTTTAAAACAGTACTATGAGGAGCACTTAAAATGACATACCATTCAAGGCTATGGGGCAAGTGCTGGAAAGTGGAACTAGTGTATATTTAGAGTAGCTTTGGTGGTACAGACTCAATGAGCCAAAGAACCGATCACTGCATGATTCTATGACCTCAATCACCTGCCATCTTTTACACAACATCAGAACAAATGATACTTAAACTAAAATATTACTTGTGAATAAACTGATTGTATGAATGAATTATCAAAACATTTTAGACTATTTAATTTTTCAAATTATTTCCAAAACGTACCAGTACCAAATTCTTCCACTAGAGGTCTTGAAGCAGAGTCATGTCACTAATAAATCCATATAACAGTCAGCCATTCTCCCAAACACATCCAGTCCCCCACAACCCCCCCAACAAATGTCCACACATGCCTAATTTAACCAGCTCTTGGTATTGTAAAGAGAGTGACCGTCATAGGCAAAAAATGATAAATAATTACTTCACAGAAATACTGAGTATACATTTCCACCAGTAGCCACACTGCCCATAAACTGTACAAAGCCAACATAAAAATACACATTGCACTATAATTACTCTGCTTACCTCTCTCTACTGCAACAATATCCAAAACAGAGTACAGTCTTTTTTTTTCCTAAAACAGCGTTATACTTGTACTGATAATTGTAAAGCTATGCTAGGTTTCATGTTCAGGCAATTAAACATGTTCAAAGGCTGCTGTTGTGCAATACGGTTACGAAATTGGAATCAGTTACGAAAGATTTAAATTTCAAAAGGGCAGAGACACCGCTTTGGAAATTAACAGCCTGACACGGTAATGGGATATTAAGGTAGTTGAAAGTGTTTGGAGTCTGGTGGCAGCTTTTTGACTCATCTGATGTGCTGCAGTGGACTTTGTTGAATTTGACTGGAGTCATGAGCAGTTAATTTAGACGCTTTGTATAGACTGACTCAGTAACACTGTCATAATTATGCCTAATAAGAAAACTATCAAATTAAAACACAACTGAGATTTTCAAGCACATTGGAGTTACTTAGCTTGCTGCTAGTTAAAATCCTTCCATAATAAAATGCACATGATACCATAATACTGCTATTGATGTAAGGACAGCCCAAAGGCTTAACTTACAAGAGACACAACAATATAGGTAACAAGAACTGCCGATGCTGGAGTCAGAGATAACACAGTGTGGAGCTGAAGGAACACAGCAGGCCAGGCAGCATCAGAGGAGTAGGAAAATTGACATTTCGGGTTGGGATTCTTCTGAAGAAGGGTCCTGACCTGAAACTTCAGCTTTCCTGCTCCTCTGATGCTACCTGGCCTGCTGTGTTCCTCCAGCTCCACAGTGTTACAACAATATAGGTTATCATTTTATACAGGTTCCAGCTTCTAAAACTCAGAACTACAACTAGGATTTCTGTCAACACTTTCAGCTTACTTCGTAATAGTGTTGTAATTTTGTCCAGTACAACGATTAAAGTGAAATTAAACAGGTAAAAACAATTTATAATACAAATTCTTAGATTTGAAATGCTGATACCTTATTCCTGAAACTCTCCTGCACCTGAATTTCATTGAACACAGGTTCAAATCCTCTGCAGGGTTTTATCCTAATAATCCTGGCTCTGGTACTATCACTAACTGTATTCTTAGGTAATCTAGTTTACTACATACTCCCCTTCTCAAGCACTGCTCTATATATCCATCTTCATGTAAGGACTTCACAGAATTGCCAGAAACAGAGTAAACGTAGCACAAAAATCTCTGCAGAGATAGTAGGAACTGCTGATGCTGGAGAATCTGAGATAACAAGGTGTAGAGCTGGATGAACACAGGCCAAGCAGCATCAGAGGAGCAGGAATTCTGACGTTTCAGGTCTGAAC